ATAATGTGGATACAACAGTGCTAAGTGAATTCTGAATAAAATTGAGATAGCCTGTTTCAGAGCTCACAGAGTAAGTCTGATTTAACAGCATGTCTGCTCAACAGATACACCATCTTAAACAGTAGTGACTATACGGTCACAGTACTGCATTTTAATGCACTGACATAAGAATCAAACTATATTTGCACAAAAGTGCAGCCGTAAGTATAAGCTTGCAACATTGTTTAGACCCAACCAGAATGACCAAGCTATGCCTAAATGTGTGGGACTTCTTTGCTTTTTTGTTTGGTTGGTTTTGGCTTTCTTTTCCATCTGGCAAAAATGGACTTTTTGGGCATTTTTGCCCCACCAAAATGTAAGCAACAGCCTCTGAGGGAAGGGCTACAACACACACACGGGATGTGGTATCCAGCATCCCTTTGCTGCCTGTTCCTGATCCACTGCCCAAAGTGACAGGGTGAATTGTGTCATGTGCATGGACTCCTAACGTCAGCTCTGCACTTAATACCTCATCTGGTCACCAATAATAATTTTGACCCTCCCTGCAGTCAACAACACTTTGTCTGTCAATAGCAACAGTCCCAGGATAGCTGCTGTCAGCACTGCCTCACCACACGTGCCCACACATGATGGCAGCTCTGCAATGTCACTTGCCTGTTCCCATCGTGTGACAATGGGGAGTATAGAAAGTCACAAGAAACCTGTTCCCAGGGAGTCAAGTGCCCCTTGGCATCAGCACTTGCTGTCCTTATGGAGTAGGCCACCTGGGCAAAAACTCATGTTGCATGTGAGCCTGCAAGGGAAACAAAGCGCAGCCTGCTTCTAATTTTAGGCCTGGCAGCCTTAAGGATGTTCTGGGCCATCTTTATCTTTGGCTTTTCCAATTCCTCTTCCATTAAAGTCATACCCTCAAAAGCAGTTGTGCTGTCTCTTGCCTGATGTCTCTTCGCCTCCCCACGTGAGCCTGGTCACAGGGTGCAGCAGTCTGAAAGTCGTGACCTCTCCAGAAAGCCCTCCTTGCCCAGCAAAGATTTCACAACCTGCCCGCACTGGTGGGACAGAGAAAGGACGATCCCTTGCGCTTCTCATCAGCTGGCTGCATGGCTTTTTGAATCACAATTGTCCCTGGATCAGTCAAGAGCTTCTCTGCCTTTTCTCACCTCAACCCTGCAGTGTATTTTTCTTTTCTTTTAATTATGTACATTAACCACTCCATTCAAGATGATCAGTTTCACATTACTGGGGAAAAAAAATAAACAGGATGATGCCAAAACTGATGTCTCATAAGAGTCTTCTATCTGTCCAAGCTTCATTTCCCCTTATAGACCCCCCAGGCCCCAAAGCCTGTCCAGCAGGAGTTAGATGCCCATTCCTCACACAGCAGCAGGATGCCACAGGCTAGCTGCTTTGCAGAAATTGTCCTTAAATATAGGCAGGGTAATGCCAAGTATCTTCCCACTCCCTGCAAGCCACAAGCTACCCACTGGGGTATGACAGGGGAGAGAAGCAGATGCTGGACCACCACGGCCCCACTGACATGGGGAAGCTGCTCATTCCCTGCATGCCTCAGCCCAATGCTGGTTGCACCACCTAGGAACATGCCCTCTCCAATTTGCAGCTGCAAAGACCAAGCACACAGCAGCAATGCTGCCAAGCCTGTGTTCCCAGCCCCAACATTCAGCAAAGCAGTACCTTGTGTTCAGTGAGCGTAGAAATACAAAATGGCAAGAAAGGCTATGACTGCTTTCCAAAATATTTCCATTTCATTAATTACCTAAAATGCAGCAGGATTTTATTTAAAAACTGGAAGAAAAAATGTAGTAACCTAATGGTGCCCTTTCACCCTTTACAGTATACCACCTCTGCCAGTACTTTCTACACTCAAGCCTGGAGAACACAGCAGGTTATCTATTCCAAAAGCACAGCTGGGCCCCAGCCCTGGGGGCACCATACTACCTCCTGCCCACCTGTGGTAGGGCTGAAAAAGAATACTGGCTGCTGGCGGAAAATGTCTTTCATGCAGCTGTACGATATAACCTCTTCCTTTCACTTTGCATCTTGGAGGCCACTCCAAAGTTTGCACAGAAATTGATAATCTCATTTTCTCTGCATTTTATTTTTTTTTCTTTTTCCAGGGGAAGGGGAAAACCTTGATTAGACGGACACAGCTACTTAGAATCAGTCTCTAACAAGTCCATTCTCCAATGAAACAATTGGGGCAGAATGGCTCTCTGTTAATGTTACATTTAGTCATTAAAAATATGCATTTGTGATTCTAAAAGCTGCTAGAGGCAAAACACAAGAGAGAGAGATACATCCTCGGATTTACATTCAGTTTCCAGCCTGGTAGACCCAATGAAACTAAAATTAACATCTCTACCTTTCATATGCATTTATGGGCAAACATACATTGAGTAATAACCACCACTGCTATATACATTTGAATCTTCTTTCAGCAGAGGACTAAATGCCTTTTGAGAAACCTAAATAATTTAGCATCACACTAGTGTGAAGTGTGTAAAGATGCTTTTTATATACTACTGCACTTAGCTCTCGGGTACAGCACAGGGGATGTTGTCATTTTAAGGCAACAATATAATGTCTTTGGGTAGGAAATACAGCTAATAGGTAAAAGGAACAAAAATATTTGAACTAGACTGGAAACTATCATTCAGTAATAATAATAAATAATCCAATTGAAAATGACAACAAAAAATAATGCAAACCTTAACAAACAATTTTTTGTTTGAAATCGTAATTATTTTAACAAACTATTACTAATTACCATTACAAACAGTGGGATCTTTAACTATGAGGATCTACAAAGACCTTGGTTTCACGTTTCATCCAAGTTTGTTACACTGTCACTGTTTATTTGTATTACAGAAACACAAAGATCCTTCAATCAAGAATTACAACTGCAGTGGCCTGAGCACTGCATAATTAAAAAAACCTGACAATCCTTACATCTATAATGGTCAGGTCTGGAACTATGACAAAAAAGATGAGCTGCATGTGAAACAGGAGGTGAAATTAAGGAGTGAACTGCTCACGTCCACTGTACAAAATTGTGGGCATTCTTAGCTCAACAGCTGCCTAGCAAAACAAAGAAACAAACGAACAACAAAAAACACCCTCAAGGAAGGGTTCTTTAGGATTCTTACAGTAAACATTATTTCCCATATATTCAGGGACCATCTACTGCATAGGATGTTTTCCGTAGCTCTAGGATAATCTCCCACCAAGCCACATGCAGCAAACACCCAGCCAGAATAAGGGGAGTAGCGGGAGAAATTAGCACCCACTGTATTTTCTGTATTCCAAATGCTTTCTGCTCTCTCTTCTTCCAAGCAGTAAAAGAAACTGAAAAGAAGTCCAGATACTAACAGAAATAAAGTGTTTCCTATCTTCCCATTACCTATCGTTTAACATTTTTGGTGCCTCAAAAAACAACAAACACTGGAAAACAATAAAAAAAGTAAAAAACAAAACAAAACCAAACAAACCAACTGAAACAAACCAAAAAGACAATCTGAAATGTTCAACTGAAGTAAAAAGCAACCAAACTAGACCAACACACAGTTCAAATGCTGTGGCCATGCTACCCAAGTCTCTCCTTCACCATCAGTAGCTGGACAAAAACAGATCTCCAAGCTCTTGCATTTTTCTTCTATCACCCAACCTTGCTTTCCTTCCAGACTATAGAGAGCAGGATCAGAAAACTATGCCTGGTTTTCCCGCAACAGTTTACAAACTTCACAGCCCATTTCAAATAACTTCTGGCAGATTATGATTTTTTTTTTCCAGATGTCCTCAGAGCAGGGAACTTTCAATAATTTGCTCCTGCAGTGCAAAGCGGAATGCCAGCATGAAAAAAGCAGAAACCCAAACAGGAACACCACAGAGGTATGCAGAAATAAATCAACAACAAACTAAGCTTCAATGTAAAAAAGTGGAAAAAACTGCTGAATTAGGGTGAAGGACTATATGAAAGTAAGTGGGTGCCATAAAACAGGCACCTACGGAGGTGCTCAGGAGCAATGATCTAACAGTCTCTTCTGATTTCACAGTTCAGAAGCTCCTGGCATACTACTGCCCTATCTGCAGCATCTCCATATTGGAAAGAAAAGTCTCCACCTACAACTCATTTGTTAAAAAGTGGCTCTTTAGGCTACTGTGAGACAATAATTTACAAAGCTTAGATTCACTCTGCTTTGTTGCTGAGGAGAGCAGAAACAAACTTACTGTTCCTCTTCTACAGTGGTTTAAAAGCACAGTGCAATTTCAAGGGCAGATCAAAGTTAGACTAATTATTTCCTTTCTGCATATCCTATAACTAAATGTAACAGGTCACTAGGGAAGGGTGAAACAAAGGATGAATGTACTTGCACACACTAACAACAAACACTAAGAAACAAGGACGTTATTTATATAATAAAAAGATGCATAAGGGAAAACATCAAAGCCTATATTAAAATATACAAGCCCACAAATATATCACCAATGGTGCCTCAATAACTAGGGAAATAAACTGGCTGCTCTCTTTCTCCACACTTCAGATTAAACATAACTGCTGAGGCAGTTAAATCCTTCAAAAAGCCTTTAGCATTACTGATCATCAAGGTTTGATAATCCTAGTATTGCCCACTTAAAAGTTAATCCAAAGACTAAAAAAGTATGTTTCCATTATCTTCTGTTGTTTAGAGACATTTGAGGTTACTAAAGCTGTATCTTAAAGATTTAGGCTGCAGTCAGGAAGGCTAGAAACATGCTTTACTGTAATTTTTTAATGAAACTTGACATTCCTATTTATAGAGTTCCAGGCATCAGAGCTTTAAAATACTCCATCTATCATGAGAACTGAAGAGTGGTCAAGAATATAATTTGCCTGAAGAAACTTGCAGAAGCAAATAGCTCTTGTTCTGCATTAATTCCTCTCTAGGATACCTCAACAGGGATATTTTGCTTATGCTACTGTTCCATGGTCCTTTTCCCAGGTTACTTCATCTGCTAGTTAAGCAATTGCAAGCTTTTTTTTGGGGGGGAAAGAGTATGTAACTCTAGTGTTTTGTCCATCTGTCAGCAACTGCAAAAGTGGTCTCCGTGGCATATCCTACTTATTCCTACTTCAACCGCTGTTTCGAAGTACCTACACAAGGTAAGATGACCCCAGCACACAGGGACTCCTCCAGATAGCACACAATACACAGCAGCATCTGTCAAGGCTCAGGCAACTCTCCAAATTCTGTTAAGACCCATTATACTCTCCATAATTTGAGAGAGTTTTTATTACAGTAGCAGTACCACTTCTGGTTTTGAGATCTTCCCCTGAAAAACATGTTCTTGTACAATATGCTTTTCTCCTTCAAAGAGCAAAAGAGGACCACTGGAATAGAAGGAGGAAAGGGAACGGGCCTTTTCAGGGCAGGCAACTGAGTGTCTTCAGAGAAAGAAAGGTGGCACACCAGGAAAGTACCTGAGGAGGACAGAGGGATGGCTGTGGCTGCATGGAGCATGGGACCACTGCTGTCAGCTAGGCCTCCAGAAGTGGCAAAGTTGTCATTCCCGTTGGAATAATACTTTGCATGTTTACCGCTCTTTTCTTTCATTCCTGAAGCCTTAGGGAAGGCTGTCGTGTGGCCCACATCCAGGAAAGATTGCACGGATCCCGACGAATGTAGTCAGAGGACTATAGTCTGGCACACAGAGGGCTGAACAGCACACCTAAGTTTCTACAGTAAAACCAGGAGCAACCCCAAACTCCTTCTCCATTTCCACACACACATAAAGGGGCCTTTTATTTGCTTGACAGTGCTTTATATTTTTTTTAATGTGTGGCCTTTTACTGTTCCTTGACTAAAAGTACAGATACAGGCATTTCTCACCCACACAGTACTCGAATGACTTTCAAACCTTTGTGTTAGCTTGTCATTTTTGGTAGCTTTCACACCCCTACTGAAACAAAGCTTAGACAAACCCTGAAAACTAAGGATCTCTCCAGACATGTCTACACTCTCAGTTCAACAAGGCACAATATTTTTGAACTCTCTAACCTTTATGGGAGGTGACCAAAGCCAGCTCAGACAGACTAAACTGACACACTGCCAGCTAATACCCCGAACACCTTAAAATGCAAATAGCTCTAATCTTATTAAAAATGATGCAATTTGCTGTACCGCAACAGCAAAAGGGGGAAGGGAAGCAAAAAATACTGTTGATAGCATAGGCCACCGTTCTCATCAGACAAACAGAACGGCAACATGTATGAATTGTTTCCATTTGCAGTTAAAGAAGCTGAAGAATTAGGAATATATATATTTTTTTACATCCATATTGAGCCTAGTAAAAGACTATATCTAGGCTCTGCGTGGGAGCTAAAGAACCGCCACCATCTCCCAAAGACATGACTAATACAAGATTTGGTAAGTCAGGAAGACAATGCCAAGTCTTTCTTCATACTGTACAACTTGGATGAAAGCAAGTATGTAGGAAGGTAGCTAGAGCATGCCAGAGGGTAGGCTCATGCTGTACCCACCACTATAAAACAGGCACCTCACTAACTGAGATGGAGCAAACAATGTAGAAACGTAGCAAAAGAGCAGCTCTTTGCAAGCCAGAGCTGTCATGCTATCCCGTGTCCGACCTCCAGTGCAGGACCACAGGAAACCCACACCCGCTGTAATGGAAAGCTGGGCAGCTGCAAGTCAATTCTACTTGGAAGATGGATCACGCCTCACACCCCACCTGATTCAAGTTGCTTAAAACCTGCTCATTTAAAACCTGCTAAAGTACAGGCTTGATTTCCAGTTCTACAGGGTAAATATAAGGTAAGCGAAGACTGGTGATAAGTTCCTTATTTTGACGAGCTACTTGTATCCAGTATCCTGGGAAAATAACTCAGGTTTGGATTTCTGCATGTGGTCCCAGTGAAGGGTTTCCAGATTCCTCCCAAAGACTTCCAAGTCCTGAGTCTGGCCCTCAGTGGGTGCTTGCCCAACTCTAAGCTTGTGATTGCTCACATTAGCAGAAATCCAGTGCACTCCTTTTGCAGGAGCAGAAACATAAAACCAGCACGGGCTATCAAAGTACCAAAAAGGATACTGATAATAAACTGGTTTCTACCAAGCAGTATCTGTGGAGAAGCTGTGCTGCAGTAGCAGAAAAGCCATCCTGACAAGCAAAGGCATATGGGAGAAAGGACTGCTGAGTTTTTGGAAGCTATTTACTGTGGTAATCTGCAACTGGTGTAGAGCACCATGTACAGAAGGAGTGTGGCAAGTTGACAGAAAGCAAGCAGCAAGATTCTTCTCTTTTATGAGGCTTTGCTCAGCTGGGTTGCCTTATGCAACCACCACGGGAGCAATTCACCAAGGGAGGCAGAAGGAAAAAGACTGATTTATGTTAAACCCTCCAGAGCTTCTTCATTCTCGGTTTCCCAAAGAGTGCAGCCCCAAAGCACAGATTCTATCACATGAAAGACCTGTCAAAAATAAAAACCTAATCAGTCTATAAACACCAGGGCATCATCAAACATACATTTGCCTCCAGATCATGGATTATTGTTAAATTAGGTCATATCTCTTTTCAAGTGACATCTCAAAGTAAAATAAAACCAACCAGACTACTCAAAACCAAATGAACCAAAAGCCCTATAGCCTGCTATCTCAACCTGCAGGGAATAGGCAGGATCTGGAAAAAGCCTCCAAGATGAGAGCTGGAAATAGGGCAGTCTGCCTGTGCAATGCTGGCTAGAAGCAGCTCCTTGTAGTGGCTGGTGATCTGATGGGTGATGGTAAAAGGAGTTTCAAAAGCAGCGAGTAGCACAAATAGCTCTATCTCTCAAGTTGCACTGTACTACAAAACAGATCAATTCCATTAACAAAAAATGAAGTTCTGCCACTGTGAGGCACTTTGAGCAGCACCTACACCACACTTTGTTCTGCCAGCTTAGACAAGGGTCCAGCTAAACATAACTGCAACTTTACAGAGAACCTTACATGGGTCCTGCTAGTTCAGTGCTATCAATAGTCTCCAAATTACTGCTGAGTGTCTTTGAAGTCCGAAAATAAGCCATCATTCTGCTACCATTCACACTGCTTTGCAGAACATTTTCCTATAGGATCTGAACGTGACATGGAACATGCTGGGTCTTTACAATGGTTTTAGTCTAAGCAGGAGCTGGCAAACAAAACAGGAAATCTTGAGTGCATGGTGCAGCACTGGGACAGCATCACAGTGGTTCTAGGATTTTATTCACGGCCCTGCAGACTCCATAAAACTTAAACCAAGCTCCAACGGCAATCCTGTTGGAATAGGATAGTGTGAAAAAGAGGAGACGGGAGGGCTTCCAGTTACAGGCCCCACCTTCAAATTGCTAGAAAGACTTTGGTCAGTCATTCCAAGTCGATAACCTAAGACCTGTACTGCAGTTTCACCCAAGGAAAGAATTTTGCTCACGTCTTTTGCTTTTCTGCTTTGGCTCCGACCCCACTACAGCACTGCTGGCTGTCTAGCTCCCACGATCTGGCATGTAGAGACAGGAAATCAGAGAGGCATCACGCTATTGGGAACACAAGTGGTGTCAGCACAGTGACAAGCAGGAGATGAGAGATCTCCTCTGTAACCTCCCATGACCATGCTCAGCAAATCCATCTGGATGATTACCTCTGTGCTACAGAGAAGGAAGAAGATTCTAAAAAAAATAAAATAATCTTATTAATGCTGAAAGAAGAATTGGGAATTTCTGTGCCATTTTCCTTCACACTGTTAGCTTATTGAGGTTATTGAGTGCAAGAGAGGGATGGTGGATGGACCACAGCTGTTCTACATGGCATTCACCACTGCATGTCAAAGATACAAGACCAGAAAAACAACAGGAACTGTAACAACACTTGGAGTTTAACAGTGATATTACTGCCAGCCCTGCACCTTTGAAACCTGACAGGGATGGCAAAGTGCAGAGGAACTGTAGTGATCACCAGATGAAGCAGAGGAGAGATCTGGGCACTCAGAAAGCATCTATGACAAAAATGACCTTTTTGTTTTGTCCATTCAGACAATTTTCTTGGTCCTCCTTGCCAGCACCTATGAAGGCTACATAAGTCATTCTTATGCATACAGCACAGGCTGCACCATTGCTGATAAACTGGCACAGTCCTCTCCAAGGCCACCAAATCCTTCAGGCTGGAGGGGCCCTGGGAGGTGCCTCATCTAACATTGTGCCAAAAGCCAGGTCAGCACTGAATCCAGATCAGGTTGCAGCTTATATTCTGCTGATCAGATTGACTGTAAGAAATGCCCTTTAACTCCTCATGGCAAGGAGGGAACTCCACTAAGTTAAATGAATTCACTTCTCAAAAAGGCATTAAATTGGTATTCCTTGGGTCTAAGTAAGGCTGACAAGGGTTTCTGAAAACAGGCCATCTTGGCAACAGGAAACGTTTCCCCTAGCATGAGGGGACTTAATGGAGTCAATAAAGTTACGCAGATAACTGTTTCTTACCCATACACAGCCTATATGAGCGAAGAACCCCTCAGACAGTATAGTTTAAACCTGTCTCTTGGAAGGAACAAGCTACAACAGCAAAATAATATATATATATTTAATAAACAATTTCATCTACCCCCAGCTTCTGCTGGCACAGCTGAATGTGTTAGGAGAGTGATTTACGCACAACCCTCGCTGACGTACCATTTTCTAGTGCAGACTAAGCTGCAGTCATTAACTAAGAGAACTTCAGAGTATGACAAGTTTAAAGGAGCTCCCCAACCAGTTCAGAAGTCCAAGTCAAGCAATTTTTAGAGGTACAGCAAACAAGCCACTGGTAATCTTTCCCTTATGAATGAGACTTGTCTTTCAAAAGGTTCAACGCAATCATTGTGGTCGATTTTGGAAAAGCACGTTGTGACATTTAGGATTACCCAAAATGAACAGTGCTGGAGGAGGGAAACAAAATTTAGCAGTAAAACATACAGGTTTATAGTCTGAGGAATGCCAAGTACCTACATTTTACACTTGAGTTTGCTTTAACACAGTGTGAATATTATTACTACAAGCTAATTTGATACCTTAGAAGCTCTCCAGGTAATATAAAAGCATGTCTTCATATGTGCCAGCACTGTAACAGCTCTGCTTATGGCCCACAAGCTGACAGTGACAAAACAGTGAAATAGGGAAACTTGATTTGAACAGGAAAGTTCTCAAATCAGTCAATGTGTTATGCTTGCGCAACCAAGGAAAGCAATGTTCCAAACTAGGTTCAAAGCTGCAACTGGCCTACACGCAGGATTCCTGAAACCTCACTGGAGCACCACGTTATTTTTTTAGGAAATAATTACATGTGCTTTCGTTATTTTCCTTACGCTGCTCTCACTTCTGATTCCAGAGGGTTTGTTTTCCCTTGCCCTAATGACCCATTGCTGCTACCACAAGCTAAAATTACACATAGCTGGCACACACACTGAGAAATATGAAGAATCATTTTTAATGTAATTTGCTTTTAAAGGCAAACCAGCAGTTACTAATCAGTTGACCTATTTCTACTCTAATTTACCTTACTTAAACATATAACCCAAAAAAACCTCTTCAGAAATGAAAAAACACATCCAAAAACTTCACTGGGGTAGAGAAAGAGGTTTCTAGAAGGAAGATTAACTATAATAAAAAGAAGGAAAGAAAGGACAAGCTTAGGAGAAATACCATTCTCATCCAGAACATGAGGATGGTGTTTCCAAGTATTTTGAAGCTGAAATTAAACATTCCCAAGCTGAAAAAAAACAAGTTCCCTGCCCTCCTGGCAACCCCACCACAGAGATGCCTGTGGCCATCTATGTCTTCTTCATTCAGTTCTTCATGTCCCACACCTTCAAACCCAGAGACTGACTCCTCCAACCAGGTGCCAGGGTTCCTGCACATCTGAAGGAAGACTGTCAGACCTGAAGACACTGCTTACAAAACATGTCCATGTGGGTATTATTAGCAAAAGCATCTATTTTAAAGGTACAGTTTCTTCTCACTTATCTGTGCTTCGGGGGTGGTGACACTCCCCCCCACCCCCCTTTTCCTTTTTTAATACTTTCTCCTTGAGCAGGCCATAGTAAGAGCCTAATCATTTTCCTTCTTCTTTGCTGGCACAGATCCTGGTCCCCGGGCCGGGACTGGCAAGATGCCTGTTGATTTCAGTGGGAAGAGGATCAGGCCCAGTCCTGCAGATGTTACTCACGCAAGTGCTCGGCTCCACCCATTGTTTCTCACATCACTGCATGCTCTACTACTTAAAACACAGGGACAGAATGGAACAATGGAGCCTGGCACACAGTGCTGCCCTTATTACATGCTGCCCCTCAAAGCTCTTTGTCACCACTTGGCTGCGGACTGATAACACGCAGCCTTTTGCACCTACAATTGCCAATATCGGGCCATTTGCAATCGGATCTTAGTGGGAGTCATGCACCCATCGTCTTTGTGTGTCAAGGACCACGGCTTTTCTGGCCTGTGGGAAAGTCAAAAATCAACAAAACCATCTCAAATACTGCGGCATTTGCTCTTTTTCTTGAAGTCCCAGTTCCTGGAGTCATGTTTCTTCTTGAGAAACTTGGCTTTCAGTTAAAAACTAATCTTTCCGGGTTCCCATAATTGCAGAGGATAGCCTGAAAATCTGGCTTCAGAGTTTCCCAAGAGGAAATAAAAAGCCAATAAACAAATAAAAAGAACTGGAAGTTTTTCTTGGTTTGATGTCATTTGTTGATTTTTCTTAACATCACTATTTTAAGCAGTTCTCCTTTTTTTTGTGTCCTGTCAAATTATTTTTGAGTGCTTTAGAATTTTGCTCTAAGCTAAATCCTGATTCAGGCTGCCATCACTGAAGATTAAAAAAAAAAAATGTTTCTTCACTTGTTTGTCAGCATTATCCAATATTCATTAATTATATTTTTATACCCATTCTTTTATAGTGATGCTTTAAACCTCTTTATTGGATTAGAGACAAACTTGAGAAACAAAGTCCATTCGCAATCTAGAAAACCCTCAAGGCAACTGAGACACTTGGATCTCATTTTATGCTTATGAAGCTGGTGTAGAAATTGTAAAAATATACCTGTGAGATACTCTAGACTGAGAAACAAAAGCTGACTGTGGCCCCTTTGCAATTGGATAATTTACAAATAAGTATGTAATGGGGCTTTAGTTGCTGACCTGTGTAATGTTCACTATTTCAGTATTTTCAACTCAAATAAAATGCTGCTCATTAGAAAAATGTTCAGCTTGCATTATTTCAGTACTCAAAACTGCTATTCTCTAAGCAGAACTGAAATAGAAAACAGGGATTTATTTTATTTATATGTATATATGTATCTACACATACAAATACACTTTACTCTTCCCTCTCTACTTTCTGCCTTTACAAGACAAAATACGCAGATTGGACAACTGCAGACATTAGGAAGAAACCCTTACAATGCTTAAAGAAAAGAAAAGAAAGAACAGTGTTTGCTCAGTGTCTGCATATTTCATGCACATTGGTGCAAGAGCATATTAGCTGTAACCCTCACTTTGCATTGTTGATTAAAGAAAAAATGACAGAGGAAAGAATGAGACTTTCAGTGCAGCTGGGTCAGCTCGTACCACGGGACTCCTGTCTGGCACTGGTGTGGCCCAGCTGCGCAGAGTATCTTATGCCAATGTCACGACCCAGCTACTACAAACGAGAGCTATTGCACAGTGGTAGCAACAGGCTGCCGGGGCTGTAAATACACAGCCCTGTCTCGTCCCCAGCCACCTGGAACCATGCCTGGCTGAGGAAAGTTCCTGCTCACAGACTGGCACCAACGGAGACATTGATGCACTCCAGAATTTATGTCCCTCTACACTTCAGCTGCTTACAATAACTTTCCCCATGAAGTACCAGGAGGTGGGCTGGGCTGTCAGTGCCAGGCTCACCACCCCCAGAAAGAAACCCTATGCATTTCCCCATGCATATCCAGCCCCGACAGCCATCCTTCTCCATGACCCACCATCACATAACAAGCTGCCCATAGAGAAATACTCTGAAGAAGCTATTTCACGTTATTTTTTACAGAATTTGAGCCTCGGCCCACCAAAACACACCCATGAAGGTCTCTGGATTGTCCTTTAAAGAATTATATCACCATACCAAAATGAAAATGACATTTGTTTCTGATGCTGTAAGTGAACTGCAGGAGGTTGTGGAAGACATTTTCAGCAGCAAGGAATTAAACTAACAACACCCCACCCCACCCCAACAATAACAGTGCAGCAAGCTTTGAGACAACTTAAATACATCTGACTCCAGGTCTAGTCCTGCCAGCCAAATAGGGCAACGTTATGTTGGGGAAGTAAGGCTTGGAAACCTAGCGTGGCCTGTTCTGCTCATCCCTCCCAGCCTTCTGGATCCCTGCTGAAGTTCTAAGAGTTTTAGGGAAAAAAACAGCAAGTGGGTATCCTGGACCCTTTTGAGAAGGGTAGCAATGACTGAAGAAAACGTACTTTGATTTTGGTGCACACATGAGTGAGACTCAAGGACGTATTTCTGTAAAAACTAATAGCAATATGCACTGTGTCAGCCTATCAGGTGATGGGAGAACCAGCAAGAGAGCTTAAGAAACTGCATTGCCATGGAAATAAGATGATGCTGCTGACAGTGTGCCTCAGCTTGGGAAAAATGATGGGACAAGATAAAAATACCAGGGGAACACAGTGCTATCAGGACTGACTTCAAGTGTATATACCTGCAACACGTTCTCATGTGTTAGCAGTAATGCATGGACTTTTATTTATGCTTTTAATACAGACCAAACAAACCCAAGAGTAAGTCATGTAGAAACTTAAAATTACTATTTCCTTCTCAATTCTCCCCAAGGGACTTCAGGTCTAATTTAAGCATAGAAAATTAGAGGCATCAAGACTACTCAGGGGTGAAACTATGATCTGGGGGCAAAAAAAAGGTGATTGATTCTTCGGGAAAATATCTATTCCCTTTTAAAATGGGAAAAAAGGGTACCTGTTTGGGGTATTCACACACCCAGAAGACTGATGCATTTACAGTGCAAAAAAATAACATACCATCCATGCTGAGAAGTCAGGATCTGTCAACTGACCTCACCGTGACTGCACAAGGAGCATTACTGCCAAAGGCAAACTTCAAAGAATTTTCAGATACTGAATGTCTGTCTTTTGTTTTGTTATGTTAATTTATTATGATGCAGGAAGAGCCAAATAATCTTTTCCTGGTTTGTTCTTGAATTTTAAGTTTAATGAGTTTAGGAAAAAAAAAATAAATCAAATCAGTCATTTTTTCCATTCCCACAAAGGATTTTTTTTAAGATTACTCTGGAAAATGCTTACGTTTAACCAAGTGTAACCTTCCATCCAAGCTCTCCCTAGGATTAAGCTAGTATTTACAACATCACTGAGAAATCCCGCAGGTTGCAAATCCTTCCTCCTCTAAACTGCTCAGCCTTTGGTAGGCTCAAGTAGTTAACAGTCTTGAGGACTTGAGGAACTGCAGGACTCTGCAGTTCTGCAAAAAACAGCAAAAAAGCCCCAACCAAACATGAGATAAAACCCTTCAATCCCTGCCCCCGTTGTCTTTTTCCCTTTTACATGTGTATGTTTCATATCATCCTGAGTTTTCTATGCAGAGAAATATGAGAATGTGTTCTCCCACATTTCCACATCTTCTTTAGGTTTTTTTTTTTTTTCTGATCTAGATGCTTCTTTTTCCCTGGGAATACGAACATAACTAATGAGAGGAGAACTCTTCACCTCCAAACGGAAAATTGGACTCCAATTCTGATTTCTCCCACAGTGGCTGGAGTCAAAGAAAATCTCACTGAAAACAACTGAGCTATTCTGGTGGAAACTTCAGAGGAAAAAAAAAAAGAATTAGGCTATCGCCTCGCTACAGAAATAGATCAGTGATGTATGTTTAGGCAGTGGCATTTTTCAACCATGCACTAATAAGAATCCTCAGCTTGAATATTCCATAAATTCCTTAAGATCCTGATGCCTCTTCCTGGGACTATCTCTTCGTTAAATTTAATAACTCCTTAAAACAGAGAAGAGAAAATGTCAATACCACCTGCTAGCTTGAGAGAAAGCTATCTAGGGAAGCTTGGTCAAAAAAATTATACTGGAAAATTCCATGACATTTAGTGATACAGTATTTTCTTGCACACACTCATGCACACACACAAAGGGGGAAAAACCCCAACCTGTTTAAAGACAAACTCCTGTCTTCCCCTTACAGTCCTCCCCACCCCCCAACCCGAAAATGTGATTTACCAGAAGGAGCTCACAATGCTGCTCTGGCTGAGAAAGTACACTGAGAACTTCACAGTGAGCCCAAAATAGCCTGAAAAGAGGAAATGGGTGGGGGTGAGGTTCTTTCTTCTGCTTGCAAAGGAGTTCACCAGCCGATACAGATCAAGTAAAAACAGTCCTGACATGCGGAGCAGCACTTAGTGACAGTCCTCCCCTCTTTCCCAGTCTGGTCTATTTTAAGATCACATCACAGGAAACTTGGCAGCTACATGTTTCCGAAAGTTGCCCCTGCCACTTCCACAAGTTCAAATCATTTGTAAGGGCAAAGCTCACAGCACAGAAAATTCTGAGAGGACAGAAAAGGCACTGTCGAGCTACCGAAGGCAAGACATTCAAAGAAAGAAGACAACTAATGATAATTAAATAAAACTGAAAACATGCTCACTTTTCAGTACTGCAGTACTCTCGTTCAAAGAAATGCAACATTTGTATGAGCGCTGGTAGCACTTGCAATGGACACTGTGTGAGCTCAGAGAAAGCCCTCCGTATCGAGACATTCAGCTGTGTGGGCTGTACCCTCATCATTTTGTCACAGACTTTCTCTCACCTTCTTAACATATTTTCAGAGAAAAATTTAACACTGTTAAATACAAACTAAAACAGGACTTACGTGTGTGTGTGTGTGTGTGTGTGCATGTGTTGACAGACACACAACCAGGAACAAAGAACAATGCGGTTGTTGCACGTGAAACCTCAAATCTGATTCCCATTAAGCACGGAATAGGAGGAATGTTAATGGCACGGTCTGATTAGAGAAATCGATGATAATTAAAACACTAACAAAAAATGCAAAAGCACAGAAACACTGCTAATGCCTTCACCCTGCATTATAAAATGTATGTACAAAAGCAGCAATGGGGGATGAAGAAGTAGTTTTCTGGAACTAGGAAAATGAACAGTAATTGGGAGCAAATTTCTTTAACACCCCCCCCCCCCCCCGTTTTTATTATTTCATAACCATACCTTTTACAAATGCCAAAGCTTCATGACCCCACTTGTTCAGGGTTTCTGAGTAACCTGAGATAAAAAAAATTGTTGGCAAAATGTATTCTGCAGGGAAAAAAATACTATTTAAGCTCAGTGGATTAAAACAGTCAAATGGATGTATATCTCCCCTTCCAGAAGTAATTTATTTCTAGATATGGGAAGATCATTCTCACCCCCAAAAGTAAATTTTGAGATACCTGTAAGTAAATTGAAATACAGGTCCTCAAGTTCAGTCTGTACACTAACATAATTATTGGAACACCATGACTTTGAGTGGCAATCTAAAGCTATTAAAAAAATACTAATATTGTCTACAAAAAAGTGCAAGCCCTTGCCTCTTTATGATGTGTAAAACTATGTGAAAGCTCTCAGAGAATTTCACATGGTTGGCATTCTGTATTTTAGTGACATCTGCTTCAAAAGGAAGGGCGTATTAGATCTCTTCTCGCAAAGCTCACTCTCTGCTCCCATGCTGAATATCACTACCCCCTCATGCGAGGGCTCTCTGTCAGCTTCCATACACAGTCAGACAGATTAGTTTAAATTGCTGTAAATAACTCCTACTTGCTATACTTGAGCCCTTTATGCCAGGTTGTTCTATATTCTTAAACTGTACTTGAGTCACCTTCATGTGTTATCCATGGTGGTCTGGGAAGCTCAGGGTTTAGTAAACAGGCTAAGCAAATGGAAAGATTAGTCAGTATTGTGCTTCAGAAGGACACAAGATGAGATTACACAGAAAGCAAGAATATTAACAAAATTAAGAAGGAAGGGTTTTCAGAATCTTTGAACTAATCTAAATTATATGTACTGCACAAAAAGAAAGCATCCCCAAGTTCTGTGCTTCAATCTTTTTCACCCTGGTACTGAAGACCATTACAAGTACTACCAGATTATTGGGCAAGCTGGGATTTTTGGTTGCCATGCAGGCTAGATGACAACGACATTATGAGTTCCCTGTAATTCAAAGTAAAGAAATTGGAAGGAACAGCGCATAATGGCAACTAGGTAATAATGTTAGTTTCAGGAGGCAGAATACCACAGCATACTTACATTTACCCCTCAACATGTGCTAATGTGTTTCACTACAGCAAACAGCATGAAATTCAATATACACACTCTTTTCATCACACAAAAGAACCACCAGGGCAAGTTAAAGCAAGAGCAATTAAGAATGAATACAGTCATTTAAGAAAGGCTCAAGATAACATTTCTTCATCCATTCATCCCTTCCCACATGCTAGTGACACTAGGACATGACGAGCCATCACCAGTTTGAACTCAAAGATTACCAAGGACAAAAACATTAGGTGGGAAACAACGGGATCCAAGCAGTATGGCAATGGACAGAAAATCTACAGAGGCTCGGAAGCAATCCAGTCTCTTTTGAGTCCTCTCTACATTTCTGTCACAAATCCGTCCAACCTTCATACCTCCATTTTCTACTGGCCATGAGACAGGCCATGATGGTTACAGAATCATAGAATCACGGAATACTTAGGGTTGGAAAGGACCTTAAGATCATCTAGTTCCAGCCCCACTGCCATGGACAGGGACACCTCACACTAAACCATGTCACCCAAGTCTTTGTCCAGCCTGACCTTGAACACTGCCAGGGATGGAGCACTCACAACTTCCTTGGGCAACCCATTCCAGTGCCTCACCACCCTTATAGCATTTCCCTGTAAAAGCACTTTATAGACAACTGTAGAAAAATTCTGTACAAGAATGTCTTATTCTTATGTCCTAAAAACGATTCTTCACGTGAGCTGGCTTTACAGTCTTAGTTTCTCTATGGTATATGGTCCCTCAGCATAAATGTATTCAGGTTCTGACAAGTACCCACCATCTCAATATTAGAGGCACTGTCTACCCTCTTGGACCACTAACAAACCAGCATCCTCAGAAATGAGAAGGGGGATGGAAATGATAGTGTGAGTTCTCCCCTGAAAATTACTTCTGAGTAACAGCAAAAATAACTTGGATGTAAATCTGATTGAGCAGAACAGAAACTGGCCAAGTTTTCAGACTGAAGAACTGCAAACTGACAGAAGATGTCTGGTGCCAGTATCCCCAACAACCCAGGCCTCTACCAGTTTTCTGACGCAGTCCTTCAGCTGTGAGATAAAGCGATCATTACAATAACTCTACATATACAGAACCCATGCAGCCACACGCAGAGCTGAAGAAGTTTTTCCAATTCAGTGGCATCAAAGGAAACCCCCACAACCTGTGCCGCTGTGCATAGCAGCATGGCACCTATGAGTCCCTTCAGTGCCACACGCAGCCCACGCACATCGCACGACTGTAACCTAGCAAAGTTTTGGTGGATGTAAAAGGCAAAGGGTAAGCAGAGAAACAGGCACAGCGCATTGAACCCACTGTCCTGAGCACCAGCTGAAAGCAAGGGGCAAAGCCCAGGAATGTAATTTCATACAGTGGGCCGCATTTTCAGAAGCATCTAGAAATGTTGAACCTTGTAAGAGCTCAGGACTTTGTATTTCCTGGTTATGCAATGACATATCTACAGCTCTGTCTTGTTCCAAAATCTAACCTTGGTAACCTCTCTTGTGGATTACACCAATACTTCAATCAAGAGAGTTGTTGAAACCCTCTCCCTCCTGTTGAAAAAAAGAGGCTTAAAATACTGTTCTAGTTTTTAATAACAAAAGTTAAACTCCAAAACCTAAAGCTCTCCTGGAACCCAAAACAAGTGCTCCTTCACAGTAAGTGCCAGTGAAATTCTAGCAGGGATGCCACCAATTTCTGTGGTGTGTGTAACCTTTTGAGCGTCTCGGATAGCTCAAGGCACACTCAAGAGACAGTACCCTATACCCTGTAATATATTAGTGTTCACACATGTACACTATTTCTTTAATAATAATTTTTCTACAGTACGAGGCTGCTTTCCAAAGATGTTTATCACTGTTTCCGGTGGACTACTTGGGAAACAGCAGATCCTCATCATCTCTGAAAATTAGGCCATAGATGGCTTGAGAGCTGAACTGACATTCACCAAGATGACATCTTCCGAACAGTTACGAAAGCCAAAGTCCTCCAAAACCAAACGAAGATTAGGGAAAGGAGAGCTCGCAAAGTTAAAATGTGTGGTACTCTGACTACACAAAAACATTAAAAGAAAAAAAAAATCCTTAAAATCTACCTAATTTTAATATGTTAGTACTAATATTTTATAATGCAGCCTATTTTCGTAACAGAGGTACGTCTTGATGAGATGAAAGGTCTGCTCTGTGGTTGTGAAGGGTTTATCAAGAAAATAGCCATGATACAGTGATAAAGGACCCACCACCTCAGCACCAGCATGTATTTGTCCCACTGCAGAGGTGGTTGTTTTCTGGGGAGGAGCACCCAGAGCCCCACCAAGAGAAGGTGGAAGGCAGGTCCTTGAGAACAGCTGCTCCTGGGAAGGATGAGAAGGTGCCAGGGGTGACCATGAGCAGGAAGAGGCCTGAGTGGGAGCTAAAATGGTGAAATGAAACACTTGCAGACAAGGAGTAGGGAAGAAAATCTGGCAAGCTAGGAGAGATACGACCAGCATTCTGCACAGGTGATGTCTGTTCACTCCTCTGCAGCCTCCCTGTTTGGATTACAGGATATTGGAGTCATGCTCACGGAAAATGGCTGGTGAAATGGGGCCCTGGCTGCAGGCTCAACTGCTGAGGAATTCCTCTGCTTTTTTCCTCTCAAGTTACGGTTGCAGAGGGAAAGCATGTAGGTTTAGGCAGCTTTGAAGGGCTTTGAAGAGCTGTTTGGAAGGCTTTGAAATGGAGGGTGTAGGGGAAGAAACTAATCTACACGTTCAGTAATGACTAGAATTAGAATGGTTTGGGTTGGAAGGGACCTTAAAGCTCATACAGTTCCAACCTCCCTGCCACGGCAGGGACATCTTCCACTAGACCAGGCTGCTCAGAGCCTCATCCAACCCGGCCTGAGCACCGTCAGGGATGGGGCTGACATGGCTTCTATAGGTAAAATACCTAAGTTTTAATAATATTATTAATTAATTTCTTTATTAAGCCATTAGGGGAATTTGACTTATGTTTATTTATTACCCAAGTTACAGTTCAGCACCCCTGTGAACCCAGAGAACAACTTTATTTCCCCCTCTGTGAGACCGGTTGGCGGCAGCGAGGAAAGGAAGGAAGGAAGGAGCCCTGAGGGGGCCGGGCCTTACAGCCGCCCGCGGCGGGCGCGGAGGCCGCTCCCGGCACCGGGGACACCTGCCGGCGAAGGGCCGCCGCGGTGGGAGCGCCCCGCGGCCCGGCCCGGCCCGGCCCCCGCCGGGGATGGCTTTTTCTGGAAACATGACAGCCGGCCTCGGGGAGCCGGGGCGGGGGGAGCCCGGCAGGACGCGAAGGCGCGACGTGGCGACGGTTGTTAAGGGAGTGCAAACAGCGCGATCAACAGAGGGGCTTGTGCGCGGGGAGGTGCGATGCCCCGGGTTTTTATAGCCACCTCATGATGTCAGCGAGCCGCGCTGGCCGCCGCGCACGGAAATAGCTGGGCCCTGCAAACGCGCGGACATAAATCCGTTGGCAGTGCTACAGCGAACGGTTATTTTTGAACGGCCTGAGCAAGATAAAACTTGACTCGGGGGGGGGGGGGAAGGGAGGGGGAAGAGAGTAGCTGATTTACAGCCGCTCTAAGGTCAGTTTGCTTTGCTACAGAAGGGTAAAAATGCGTTTCAGTGAGCACAGGAACATTTTGAATTAGGGAGCTACCCACGTGCCTCTCCAGCACTGCCCTTCCCGGCCTTTGGTACCAGCCCAGCTCTGCAGGCAGCGGGTGCAGCTTCTGAGGAGCAAGAGGGCAGGACAGATGGGTCTTTGAGCAACCTGGTCTAGGGTGAGGTGTTCCTGCCCATGGCAGGGGAGTTGGAACTAGATGAGCTTAAGATCCTTTCCAGCCCTAACCATTTTATGATTCTATGTATTCCAAGATGCAGAGCAGGGATCTGGCTTCCCACCCATGCCACAGAACAGCCCTGCCATCCCTTCAGTCAGTGCGTTTTGCCCCACAGGCCATACTCCCTCCATAAGCAGCGGGCCCTATGTGCCAGGCACAGCTCAGCAGCCCTCCTGCGAGAGGGGGGGTGGTAGGCAGCTTGGGCCACAAAACCAGCTTTGGGCTTGACAGCCTCGCTCCTTCAATTCAGCACTGCATGCACTCCAAAAGCTGCTTTGCCTGTTTAAACGGGGTCTTCTGGCCAAAGCCTCTGTAGCTGGACAGTGAGGATTTCTGGGACAGCCCATCTTGCTTAAGCTCACACTGCCACACCATGCTTTAGAAAACAAGGAAGGTGTGGAATCCCCTCATTGCGAAAATTAATGTGAACTACAGCAGAAACCTTGACAATCAAACTTCTGTTCTGTCAAAGCAGCAACAATAATCTAAGCTGCTGTGCCAAGGCCCCGATTCATGTTACATGTGCTCCTTCACCAAGTTTTAAGAAGAGCAAAAGATTGGGTACCTTTAAAAAAATAACAGTATTTCAATGCAAATATAAACTTATCATAAGCTTCCTGAAGTACACACAGCATAAAGGCAGTATCACTGCAGAGAAGGTATCTGCTTTCAAGGGGTTTTGCATTCTCATTGAATGCTGGACTGGGTCCAGACCAGCCAAGTATAACCACCCTCTAACCTCCCTGCGGAGCCTTACAGAGACGAGACTGAAGCAGTATGATTTCTGACAGAAATCAAATCCCGGCTACTGCACTGCTGGGAACACTACAGACAAGTAAAAAAAAGAAAAGAAATAGGAATTGGAAGTGAAACAATTCTGTGGAGCTCATTTAGATAATACCTTGTCAAAGGACCAGATACGGAAACACATGATACATTTTACTAAATGCTTGCTAAAGTTAAGTGTCTGCTAGCATAAAATTTAGTATTAACAAATGGGATGTACAAACATTAAAGCTGATCAGTTATAAAACAGCTCAGTTACATTCCCAGGTTAACCAAGCTAAACAGTATGTCTAGTCAAATCGTACATAAAACCATGGAGACTATTTGAAAAATACAATTTGTTCACATTTCCATCAGTTCGTATTTCAGCATTTGTATCTCAGGGGACTAATAGGGGAATAACTCCTAGATAATATGCTTCCAAAGATTCAAAACCAAGTGACCTTAATGGAAGCTTATCAGTATTAGGATGTTGCATTATGGATGCTGGATACATATTCAGTACTTCCTTCTTGATGTAATGCATCCAGGGACATATATAGGAAAATCCCAGGACAGACTGATGAACAGCTTCTAGATATTCCCTATCTTGCAATAATCATTCTGCTGTAGTGGTAGAAACCTTTGAGCAGTCACACAGCGAACTGGATCAGAAGAATGGTAAGCAATTTTTGAGCGCAGGCAAAGCACAGGAGGCAGCACAGGAATGGGAGCAAAGAGACTGCATCAGGCAGCAACTGCTCAGTTTTGACAATATGGCCAGTAAATGAATAATCTTCATATATTTTGTTTTCATGGCCAGTGAGCTCTGAGATTGTCCCAAAAGTAGCAGCATCTGAATTGTGTTGGGCTTACAGAGACCCCTTAGCCATGGCTAGACTGTTAGTGAAAATATGTCTAGACTACAAGATGTAATGTTTTAAAATGTACTAGTTGGCACATTTTAGCTGTAATACTGTCAACCCAAATTACGGGTATGCCAAACCCAAATGACAGTCAGATACAAAATCATGACATTACAACAGATGAAATGACTGCATTTAGCTCTGTAGCCCCCAAGAATGATGTGAACCTGTTGGAGCGAGTCCAGAGGAGGGTCATGAGGATGACTCAAGGGCTGGAGCACCTCTCCTGTGAAGACAGGCTGAGAGAGCTGGGGTTTGTTCAGCCTGGAGAAGAGAAGGCTCTGGGGAGACCTTAGAGCAGCTTCCAGTTCCGAAAGGGGGGCGACAAGAATGCTGGAGAGGAGCTTTTTATAAGAGCATGTAGGAGTAGGACAAGGGGGAACAGCATTAAACTCAGGGTAGGTTTAGATTAAATATTAGGAAAAAAATTATTTACCACGAGGGTGGTGAGACACTGGAGCAGGTTGCTCAGATAATTTATGACTGCCCTCATCCCTGTGTTCAAGGACAGGTTGGACGGGGCTTTGAGCAACTTGGTCTAGTGGAAGCTGTCACTGCCCATGGCAGGGGAGTTGGAACTGGATGATCTTTAAGGTTGCTTCCAACCAAAACCATTCTATGATCCTATAAATTTATTTTTCAACTTATACCTTAATTTGTACTTCTTTAAGTCACAGTTTAGAATACTTCCCACTAGAATCTTGTTTTTGCTGTTTTGTAGCATTTGTAACATAAACATTACGATTGGTCTGAAGAGTGTATGAACAGAAATGTCTGTCAGTAAAGCACCAGGAAAGACAACAGAACAAAGTTGCGGGGGAAAAAAAAACAACACACCACCAAACCCAAACCATTTTGATAACCGTGGACGCAATTGACAGCAATCAAATGGTTACACACCAAGGAATGTGGTGTTTGCAGCAGGACCAGGAAGCCTGTGCCCTAGGAAACCCTCAGTTGCATTAGCAGGCCTGTGCCCTGACACACAGAAGATAGCAGCAAGGTTGCACCATGCTATACGTGCTGTTCCTCCCTCTTCCTGTTCTGCAAACAGGGAAGCTGACTCTAGCCATAAAGACACCCACAGCAGGCAAACCCATGAAACAGACAGCAAACTAAGATTCACCTAGGCTGAGGTAAGCACAATTCAGAAATGAATGCACACACCACAGTAATGTGCTTTGACTGCCAAAGGATAGAGAAGAACCACCCCAAAACCAGAGCGTCACAGATGCAGAAGTCAAGAGACGTGGTGCAAACTTGTTGGGTGATGTCCTTTGTCCTTCAGGGACAAAACTGATCCTGGCCAGATCACTTTTGAGGCATGCATCTCTGAGGTTAAAAGCATGAGGGTTGTGAGAACAGGCATGAAACTGGTAAGGCAACAAGTGTGGGATGAATCAGTTTTGTTTAAAATGGGTATGGTCTTCTCTTTCCTTAACATCTCACTGAGGCATTTTTTGCATTACTTTCCTTTGCCACTATGTGTAATGATTAAAGCTGAGGTTCTCAAATAATCACTATCATCTCAGAGTTGAAACTCACAGAAAACTGTGGAATATGCAAGCAAATAGTAGTAACTAGAAGGTAATACTGCAAATAAAACATTTTAACACACTAGCACATAAAAAAGGGCATGCCAGTGATGGAGAACCCCACTGCTGTTTATTTTACCTGGTTAATGATTTTTAAAGTACAATTTGTTCTACAGGAGTGTTTTTAAGAGTGTTTAAAAAAAAAGACCCAACACTTTCTTCCCGGTTTTTAAATGCCCTCCTGGTCCTCCAGGAGAAACTCCATCAGCAGTACAAGTTAGACTGAGGGTCTGAATGTATTTTAATATTTGCATAGAGACAAACTTTGCTGGAGAGGGGAAGGAATATATCGTAACTGTGGCCTGACTCTAAAAATTGGACTGATTTACCAGGGGGACACTACTTAAAACATCTAGAGACCTGTCAGTGTTAGTGCTTTGACATCACATGTCTGTGTGGGCTCTTTCTCTGCCACCACATCCACTCAAATCTAGGCATGTTTGCCTAGGGAAGGCAACTCTTCATCTGATACAGAATTCAGGAGGTAATGCAGTTTACTATTTGAGCCAAATATTAGAAAAAGCAAACAAAGGAAAACCAGAAAAGAACGGGGCAGTCTTGTAGGAGAGACAACCTAAAGCTATTCTAGATGTGCAGTTTCCTCCCAGAAATAAAGCAAATAATTACCTGAAAATAAACTGACTTTTATGCTGAAATGAACTGCTCTTGCAGATTTTTGGGGGTGAGTGTCACATCAATCTAGCTACAGCTGGGTAACCACTCTGCTAACTCTGTACTGGTTATGCTCCCAGTACAGACTGGCTCTAAGATTTGCTCTATTGTTTCTGTTTAAGTACACTTGATTCAGTTATAGGTGTGATTCTTACCTAAACAGTCTACACTAGCAATACATGTGCCTGCAATACAGACACATCTATAGAAGTTTCTCTGTGATGCTGCTATAGCTATTCCCACATGGGAATACTCTGATACTGGACATAGGATATCAGTACTGAAACTGAACTACTTCACATTGTTTAAAAAAAAAATCGTTGCTGCAGTGCTGCAGAGTGCCTGCCACTGAATGCTGGCTGCTCTTCCAACACCAGTTGCTGTTTTCTGGGATTTATGACTGAAAGGATTAAAACCAAAGGAAACTAAAATAGATCTCCAAAGGATATTAATAGCTCCTTTAAGATTTGTCACATTTTAGATCTTATTATTACAGAAAAATATTCTTAAGGTAATAGATACAGTTTCCTCAATTTAAATGTTGAGGGTTTTGGGTTGTTTTTTTTCCTTCCAAAAAGTAAATTTTAATTCATTATACAGATATTCAGTATCCCAAACACAACCATCTGTGCAAAATGATAATTAGGTGATCATTTGCCCCATTTGCACGTGTATTTAAACAGCAGCTGAAAATTTGGGCCCTTGTAAATATATATGCATGCCACTGTTTTGCAAACATAGGGCTAATGCCCTGGAAACATTCAAATGCCCAATGGCATCAGTGGGATTTGGGGGCTGTCAGCATTTGGCAGAACCATACCCTTCTTACACATGGCTATAAACACATTGGCATACATAGAGAGGTTTTGAATAAAATACAGATGCTGGACAACAGTTTCCCATTTATCTGGACATTCTGGGAGATGACATTCTTGACTATAGTTTTAACATTATAAATTAAGGTTTGGTAGTTCATTTAAACATAGTTAATTTATTTTCTAAAGATTTTGGTTCTCAGCAAATGAAGAAAACACATTCCCAGCCAGCACGCCAATCACAGTATCAACTCTCTCACACTTGCAGATAAACCTTTAAGGAAGCTTTACTTATTTATATTAAAGCCATGAAAACATCAAGAAGCATATTAATTAATAGCGATAATAAAAAATAAAGCCTTCAGTCATGTGTTCCATTAAATCACTTACACCCTGTATTTTTAAAATGTACAAAATCCATTTGCAGTTTGCCAGGGAATTATTTTAAGGTCCTGGTGTCCCTTAGAATCTCTTCTCACGTCTTCAGATGTCTGCCTTTCACTTGCGTGGACTGAAATGTCTAGACATCCAAATTAAGGAGTGACCAATCACCGACAAACTGATCTCTCTGCGTACAAGGTCAGCGCTGCAGAGGCACACACATACGTGAGCGCACACACACACACATATACTGGCAGCAGGCACTGTGCTGGAGACCTTTATTTGTGCACAAAAATATTGATGTTGCTAAGTGATAGGCAGGCGGTCACTAGCCCTAAGTCTTTGTGTTTGTTTATTACTGTCTTCTTTCCCCAGTAAACAATGCAACGGTGATGCAGAGATAGAAAAGCCCATCTAAACTAAAACAGCTATGGAACCTAATTTATTATGTCTGTATGATATCAGCCCACTACTCCTTTCCCTGATTTTGTTCTGTTAAGTCAGAAGGAAAAAATCTAGGAGGAACTTGAAAACCCACATGTCCTAATGGTCCCAATCATCCTACTTTCCTTCAGTTAAATAATAGAACTAGGTTATTGGCAAAGGTCCCTCTGCATCTTAAGCTTGCTGGCACCAGATTTAAGGAATTTTTTTGAAGTTAAAATAATAGTCCTGTATGAAATTCGTATGTCTAGTCAATCGGAATATGGAGCAACCTGAAAATAGTATCTCATGACACTACACAGGAAGTGTGGATACACGTTCCTTATCTAAAAATTCAGTTACCTTCAGTCCTAGAATCCAAATCGCTATTTTAAAAAATCTTCTAAAAAATTCCCCTCCTGAACAAATACACCCCACCCCTCTTTTTTTCAGTCATCACTATTTCTAAAACCTGTACCTTTGGTGATAAAGAGGGGAGATTTTGATTAGATTGCAGGATTCTTTACTATGAGGGTAATGAGACATTGGCACAGGATGCCAGAGAAATTGTGGCTCCCCATCCCTGGCAGTGTTCAAGGCCAGGTTGGATGAGGCTTTGAGCAACCTGCCCATGGCAGGGGGCTTGGAACTAGATGAATTTAACCCAAACCATTCTATGATTCTATGGTATTAGGAGCAGGTTTCTGGAAACACAGGTTTTCATGACAGGGGTCCTGTTTGCAGTTTTCAGTATAAATTGGCTTGCTTGACTTCAGGGAAGACAGAGCATGGGGAAGCTGGGTTTCCATCATCACCTCCTCTGGCTAGCCTTCGAGGCTTCTGGGGAGCCCTGGAAGTGCTGCAGACCCCCAAGCTTGTAAGCCTTCCTGCTCTGATACAGCCCCCCAGGTGAGCTGCCCAGGTAAGATCTCAGAGAGCCCCACAAACACAGGTCCCCAGAGGTTACCGTGCTGTCTGCAAGCATGCTGGGAGGAAATCACGGCCCAGTCTCCTCCTGGAAGCTTCCAGATTTTCAGAAATTATATGGTCAATATGGCAGGCCATTAGATTGCAAATCCTTTTTTTTCAACAGAAAAATATTACATAGAGCTTTGCCATGTCATAACAGAGGCATCACTGGAGCGAGGACACTCTTGCCCTCACTTGTATGTAACTGCTGCTGATACGTGGAATTTACACAGAACACATTATTAGGAAAATAGCAAGGGTATTTTGACTTTGATTTTATTTTAGCAGTGAGATACAAAGATGACTACCAATGTCAACTGGCGGTGGAAAGCACAGCTGGAGGAACATTTCAGAATGGTTTGGACCCTACTGGAATAGCAAAAGCCTGCCCAGCAATATAAAGATGAAAATGACCTGGGAGCTAATGTAAAACAGTAATTCAGGTAACTTGTTTTTCCTCTAGGTTACTGTAAGTCCTGTAATAAATCACAAGACAGGCATAAACTTCTGGTTTTAATTGTCATGTACATACAAGTTCCTCCTAAATTCTGTTTCTCCCACTGAAACAGCAGTGAGTTGACTACATATTGGAAGCCTTATACATAAGCAGACCCAAAGCAGCACTGCTACAAACCATTTTCTGTTCAGTCGGCTGAATCAGATACGGCAGTGATCGTTCCAGCAGGAAGCTGAAGGGACAGGACAACTCGGTCCCTTCCTCCCTACGTCAGTAATTTGCTGGATGAGTCACTGGCTCTCTCTGTCTTAGTCTGTCCATATGCACAATGTTAATAGTAACAATACCTTCCAAGCAAAAAGCGTTGCTTTAAATTCCAGAGATCAAAGACCAGCAATATTCCTGTTCTGGACAAAAGCAATACTTTGTCTTAGTCTCAAGCTGCTTGCACAGCCAGTGCTGGGAGCAGACCATTCCTGCAGTAATTGTGAAGTAAGTGTATTAACACTTATGCACCAAATCAATACTTTCCATTAAAGCATTATCTGCAGATGTACTATGGACAAATACTTCAGTTGTTGAGTGGGGAAAGAAGAGGGAAAGAGAGGACATAAAGAAACCACGTTCTCCTCAGAAAAGCTGTATGTTAATTAAAAATATTCTTTTCCAACAGACCTCTATTTGTAGGAGGAATGAGATACTGCAGACAACAGGCTTTAGCAGCAATGGCTCTACTTTGAAGGACCTGACTTGCCTTCAACTATGTGCCCTCTCAGGCAATCAACACACCCTATGAAGAACACACACCTTAATCACACTTGAACTTATTTTACTTCTTCCTCTTTTCTCAAAAAGTATTTTACATCTCACAAAAATTCTAATGGTCCTACCGAAAGTTCACACTTCTGATTTTGCCTGTCTAGAGAAGAGTGCTTATGCACAAATAAACCTTGAAGGATGGAAAAATGACGAGAAAGAAAGCATCAAGCCAGACAAGTATGACTGGAAACTCAGATGTAAAGAATTCAAATATTTCAGAAGATGTCTTGATAGGTATATTCCCACCTCATTCCAAGCAAATAAGATTAGCACGTATTACTGAGAATTTTATGCCTCAGTAGAAGGCCCTAATTATATTTCACACTGCTCTGAAGATTCCTGTAATATACACACGCCTTTAATGTGGAATTTTATACCCTATTTATAGCATATAGGTTCTTTTGGATATTATTACTTTTCTATGAAAGTTCCTTTGATGTCAGGTAATTACCTTAAACAAAATATTTAGCCTGTTGCGAGAACTGAACTATGAGATTTGTGTTGAACAAGTCAGCCATCATGCAGCTCAGTATAAAGGCTTCTAAGCCGCAAGTGGGGATGGAAACATTAATTACAAAGACAAAGCCAATAATGCATTTTAAAGGGCAATTTAAAGTGAGGGCTGATAAAACTGTATAGTACTACATCTTGCTTCATGCATGCCCCTAAAACCTATTTGAGCTAAGCACTAAAGAGTGTAAAAATTATTTCATTACTAGTTACTATCCTTAGCAAAGCCACAGGTTAGCACAGACTTGGCCAGAGCCAGGCTGAAACTGTGAAGACGTCGGGAGGAGTTACTAAAACAACCAGTAACAATCCCCAGTAATTTCTCCCCAACCAGAAATGGTGCATCATTAAAGATTTCTAAATTTGTATTCTTCCCATGCTAGAGGAAAACATGTCTGTTTCTCTGCAAAGCCATGAATTTCTTCAGTGCAATAAATGACACATGGCTACCATATATCAATCTAGAAAATTATGCTACTTTTATATAACATTCTGATCTAGGATTGAACCACCACCATTTTATGTCTGACGCGTTTTCAAGAAAGTCACTTGCAGTGAGAAGTCACCGGCAGATCCCCTCTTCACCTCTTCAGGCACAGTTCCTTGAAAACACCTAAAAGTACACGATTTTAAAACACCATGCCATATGAACCCACAATTTGTCATGCAAATGTTATCCCTCATATACAATGCATAATATACACATGAAACCAAAACCTCAAGATGTAACGCACGTGCACACACACACACAAAAGGGAAGTCAGCCAATACAGGACCACAAACACAATTTATTATCATTTTTTACTGATGGAACAAACTGCATCGAGACAGGTTTCCCCAACTGTCTGCACTTCAGTAATCTGAGACTTGAAATTGCTGGTTTTATTATACTTTTTGCCTAAGCAGAAGTGTAGCTGCTTATTAAGAATGCTTAATAAAACCAACAGACATTAAAAACAGTCAGCAGGGAGTGTTGCAATTAGATGCTTGCACAGTGCTTCCCTCTGTGCCTACATGCAAATATTTTTCATCTTACACAGACTTTCAGAAACTTCATCATGTTGCTGCAGTAAGAGAAACCTCCTCCCTTTTTCTTCATGTGAGATGTTAGGCCATCAATTGCATATCACAATTACTTTATAGAATAAAACAAAATTACTTGTAAATTTCTAAGTTCCCCGCCACGATGTGGGACCTCTGAAGAAACCGATACTGCAGTTTCATCCCCCAAATACTATGGGTGAAGGAGAGACTAGGACTAAAAGGGCAGATGAGATATGGGTCAGTAAGGAGGTAAAAAGCTGGAAGAACCACATCTCAGACGACTGAAGTATCTACATTAAATATATGAAATATTTTCCTTTACTGAATATAGAAATGTTGTTGAACATGTTCTGTTCTTTGGGGAGAGGGGAAATGTTTGGAATAATAAGGGCAATCACAGGGAAGAGAGGCTTACAACTTATCTCTATCGAGTTAGTCAGATGCAAAATTCACTCTGCTGTGGGATTCTCTGTGTAACAGCCAGAATCTACAGTGCTGCATGCTCTCAGCGTAATTCCTTCCATCTGAGTGAACGATGCTCAGGAGTTTATAGGAGGCACTCTTCCATCTTGTAAAACTGGCTGCACTTAACTTTGTAACAATGTCTGCAATTCTCTTTCTTCGTATTCTTCCTTCCCAGAATAACCTACAGAAGGAACTGCAGTGTATATACATGAAAGAAACCAAACCAGCAGGAGGAACCTTTAGGAGGGGAGAAATAATAGGAAGGCTCTGAATAGCTGGTTCACAGAAGGGTTAAGGTTGGAAAGGACCTCAGGGGTCATCTTGTCCAAACCCCCTGCTCAAGCAGGGCCACCCAGAGCCAGTTTCTCAGGACTCTCTCTGGCTCCTTCCAGACTTGCTCTGCCAAGTGAGAGGCTCTGTTCAAGGCAAGTAATTGCAGCTGTCTCACCTCACCCCATGGATGCTACAGGACATAATCCTTTTCTAAACCAATTCTATAGCCGATCTGTTACAAAACCTTCAACCTTTCTGTAAAGGCTTCCAGTGAGAGCCTGGTAGCATTTGACATGAGCTTTTCTGATGCCACAGTCTGACAAAAGCGGCTTCCACTTTGTCAGAGCTTTGTTCCCACTGCCATATCCTCGCCGGCAGCATAGAAAAATGTCTCTACCAGAAGCCAGTATGCAAACAAACAAATCTTGCAAAAATATTCAGTGTGAAGGAAAGCCACACCCATCATATAGGTCTGCCCAAGTCTGTCTTTTCACCATATTTATATTCTAATGTTCCAGGTTTGTTGGTTTATTAATTGCAAATTTGTCTGTGTGAGTCTCTTGCACATTCGTTATGGTCTTTATAAAAGATTCTCTGCAAACGCCTTGAGGTCACACTTGAAACCATGGTGTGAACTATGCCAGACATGGAGTTTGTGAAAGAGCTTCTTCCAGGACTGTGCATGATGTCTGCCTCTCTGTGCAGAGGAATTCAGAAACGAGGTGCAACTACAGCAGGCCTTTCCTGCCGCTCAGCAGCTGCCACCTCTCCTCTTGGCCATGGCCAGTTCCCACAAGATGGCATAGCACAACTTAATCTGAGCTTAATCTGAGATTTAAATGATGACTCCTTGACTGATGCAACAGTCTGCCAGCACACTGCCTCACTTCACATCTCTCACGATCCACTTCTCTTATGCATTGTCTTTGCAATTTTCCCCTAAATCAAAACACTGCCCATCGCTCCCTGCTGACAGCAGAGCACTGTTTCTTTACAGCCCTTCTGCAAAATAAAGTTGCAATAACTTGAGAAGGTAGCTTTAGGTTGTGCGATCTACCTGAAACACCAGTCAGGCAGTGGAACATTGAAATGGGAAGGAGTTGAAAATAAAAGAAAAATGAGACATAAATGAAAGAGCAGGTGGTTTCAGTTTTTTCAGCTCTGACAGTTGTCAGTGCTACTAGTGTTTTGGTTTAAATCAGTCTTAAAGCAGGCTCTCCCTAAATCTTTAGAAAGAAATTTAAACTGAAATGGAAAATGGACACTGGTTCAATCAGCACAACCTCTCAATTACACACAGGATCTCCATTATCAAGTTGGAAAAAGAAGACTAAAAATGACACTTCTGGTAGCCACACAGGAAGTTGGAGAGAAAAGCAACAACAAAAAAATGCTGTGTGAAGGCTTCCCATTCTTTTCAGTATATGGTTTCTACCATTTTGTCTGCCCAAGCTGGTATTTCAGCTCCCTATCCAAGAGCATTCTGTGCAGAAGCTCCCACACTGCCTGATGTGTCTCTGCCTGTCTGCGGTCAGGGAGAAAACAGTTAAGTTGAGCAGCAAAGTGACAAGAGAGGCAGGAGCCTGCGGCAACCATGGGAACAATTTCTAGAGACTTGAGGCTGAAATTTCAGAGGGAAATCATCCCAACTACTGTAGGCAGGCCAGAGAGGGGCCCCCAATGGCACTGGCTTTGAGTTTTAAGGCAAAATGTTACTGTAGACGTGCATGGACCTGACTTTACCATCCTCTAAAGAGCCATAATAATGACAGCCACATACCTGCAAGAGGTTATAAAGCAAAGCAGGAATTTTGCCTGCACAAAATGTAAACATCAAAACAGATGGCACAGTTATGTTAATCGGTTAATGTTTGCAGAGTGCTTTGAAGATGCAAAGCACTATAAAGGTACTAAATACTTACAGTCTTGTCTAGACATCATCAAGCTAATTTTTAGACTGCAACGTTTTCAGGCCAGACAGTACCTCTCTGTATATGTTTGCACTATGCCTTTTGTAACGGGATCCAATCTCAGGATGTATTCCTAAAGGAGGAATAAGAGAGGAGCAACTCCTGGAGGTGAAAAGCACAAGCTAACAGCTCCTGCTAAAGGAGTATGAAGTAGCACAGCAGAGAATCAGGCTAAATATTATCAGGGGATGAGATAGGAGTAAAAATGTACTCTGCTAGAATCAAAATAAATACAACACTTTCGTATAGCGCAATACATAAAATACGCATTCAACACAAAGACGATTTTTCCGACGTTTCACCAGAGAAACAGGTAAAGATTGAGGCTGTCACAACAAATAACCCTTTACAAAAGAGTTTGCCGTAGTGGTGAAAACTGTTTACTGCACTAACAAGAGAGGATGAGAAAACATCTTTGACAGAATAAACTATGTATGTAGACTTAATAGAGCTGTGAGGAGTGCACTGGCAATGACTGTCACGCAAAGTCCAAGTATGCAATTGAACAAAGCAAATTATGAACAAAGAGATCACAGATTTTGTTGAGGTTTGGGAAAAATCCTTCTAAATCATTTCAAAACTCACACTTCTTGTTTGCTCTAAGGAATGTTGCATACAAAGAAAATTAAATTCCAGAGACATATTCTGCAATAAGTGAGCCTTCTGTGTCAGACTGCCTCTAACCTAAACCAAACCTTACTATTCTGATGTTAAGAAACCACAGATTTCAGAAACCTGTTCCACTCATGTTTCCCAGTCAGCTCAGACTGTAAATGGGGAAACAAGTCTGGTGTTACACAAAAGGTGTGGACAGCTGAAACACGTAATCCTTAATCATAAACTAAAAATAGACCCAAACTGACCACCCAGTGCATAACAAGTGCTACCGAGCATGGAATCGGAGAGATCTCAGCTCAGCCACTAGCTCCTGGCTAGGAGTAGAGTGGAGGTGGCGTGTGGAGGCCTGAAGGCAAGCAGCTCCCAATCCCTCTGAAACAGTCCCTCCAACCCACTCCAAGGCAGCACCAACCAGAGCCATAAGGGCATGGTCCCCTTTCCCCCTCCCTTTCCCTTGAGCTCAGCTTTAATCGGGGGGCTCATAGTCAATATAGAAAAAACTGAAGGAAGAAAGGAGTGTTTGGCGTTTAGAACACTGATCTTTCACCCTAAACCACCTTTTTCTTTTTCAGATCAGAAATGTACATTGTGAAATGTGGTGGTGAAGATGGTTTTAGGCCCATTTGTACTTTCAGAGCATCCCCCAAAACCTGGGGGATTCCTACTCTTCTAGGGGAGCATGCAAATGGTCTACTAACTCGCTATTCGCATGAACAGCTGTACGACAAAGGCCCTATGCTGTAGATTCACTTGAATAATGACAGGTAAGGTTATCTTCTTGCTTTTGAGGTTTTGTTTTACTTATTTTCCAGCCTCTTCACTTCAGCAGTTAAACATTAATTTCTAAGCAAAAGCAAAGTCTTAATATCATTACAGCTCTTATTTCTCAATTTGTTCTCAAATAGTTTCTGTCACTGTACAAGAAAGAAGACTTTAATTGGAAAAGGATTAAAATAATAATAAAAAGTGGTCCATTTTACTGGCACATTGAAGAGCAATGCCAACACCATAGTAACTTTATTCTTCCAGGGAAAGTGTTGCCTTTCCCTCTCTGTTTCAAAAAGCATGTATAAATAATAAGCCCAATTTTCAGTCTCAACTTACCCTTTTCCTTGCTTGTAATTTTGCATATGCTCGCATAATTACGGACTGAAATTTGCAAATACAATTACTTGCTGACACACATTGTTATTTGAATGATAAAGCATTTGATTGTATCCAATGAAAACAAGATGTGAAAGCAAATGTGTTTTAGCAAACCTAATGTACTAACTTAAGCTTCTGTTGTTTTATGGAAATACGATCCCCTAACAGTATGTCGACACCCTGTAGTGAAGTATTGTCTAGAGACCTTACATTAAAAGCAAGATAGCTGTCTTGCTGCATTATCACATTTACACTTGCCTGGGAAGAAATACAGCTACATAGGAACAATTACTTTTTACTTTTTAAACAGGAAAGTTTGCTTTCATAAAAATAATCAAATTAACAATGGCATATTAGTGGAGTCACAAAATAAGTAACAAAAAGATGCTGCTAAATTAAACTAATTCAGAATTCATATTGCATTTTGATGGCAGTTCATGACATGTAGTAAAACCACCTGTTTTCTCTGCCAAAGAGAGAAAAAGAGTTAAATCAGAACTCATGAAAAGAAGAGCAGCTGTCAAAACTACAGTTTAGCAAAACCAAGAGGCCTTTGAGTTCACTTAGATTTGCCAGTGACTTTTGAAGCTACTTTTATTTTTGGTTACTTCAAAGTTAGCAAACCTTTTATTAACAAAATTCCATAGGAAATCCTTCAAACTGCACATGGGGGGCTGTCTGTGGCATGGTCCTCTCTCACTGCAGTCTTGTAGAGTTCTTGATGGATTTCCTAGGGCTCACCATAAATACAAACAACTGACCAGAAAATCCAGATGAGGTTCAACTGTATTTCAAGAACAGCTATGACCTAATACTTTCTTGATACAGAGACACAGACGTGAAGCTAGGGAGATTATACTAAGAACTCATTTTGGTTAGTATCTTTCAGAAGAGAATGCAAAGTATGGCTAAGCAGCTCACTGATTACATTTAAAGATATTACTCAAGAAATCTAAGGATAGGAAAGAAGTTACCGATATCCTTAAAGGCATTATCAATAAGATAAGGAAGACAAAAGAAAAGCTTTTTGTTACTAATATTTTTGTCTATATTTGAATATACTGTTGTCAATGGAAAAAAAATCCAGAGCCTGGAGTCATTCATTTTAAGTCTGGAAGCTGGCACCGAATAAAAACACAGCCAAACACACCGAGAGATATTTAACAAATGAATATTATATGGAATCAATCAACGTAACAAGAGTTACCACTTCAAACTATTCAGAAATGGTGGCAGTGTTCATATAAGGAGAGCTTAAAGATTCCTACATATTTTTTTTTCTCTGATTTTATCTAGTTTCAAAGCTTTCAGAAATCATGCACTTTATCTTTTCTTTGCAACTGAGAGAGCTGTAAGTTAACCTTTTTTACAGTAAGACCAAAATTCTTAAGTATTTCCATAATCCGTAGTCTTGGAAGGCAGGTTTTAAAGAAAATGCAAATCAGTGCATGACTACAGAGAAAGACTGCAAGAGTTGTAACTCTAAGCCAGCAGTGACAATGCACCATAAATTGGATATTAACTTCAGGAAGAATCAAACAGCAAAATTCCAGTGAAGTCTTGAATAGTGTCAGCTTCAAATTATAATCCAGGATATGTCTGCACCATGTTGGCCAAACTACAGATTAAAGCATTGTACAAATATAAAGTCTGAGGACAGGTAGCCACTGAGAGCAGCTCAGTATTTACTGCTGCATTTGACATAAGTGTTTATTTATGAGGGTCAAACTGACTTCTTTGTGTTTCAAAACCCCTAGGTGACCATACTCTATCATCCATATATAAATGCTCCAGCAGTCCAGGAAGAAACCTATGCTTTATCAGACATATTTACAAGACACATCCTACCAGCACGCTGTCCATGGTCACCAGAGAAAAGTACAACACTTTTCTGCATGGGCTGCCAAGCACTGCTTCCTAAAACCAACCTGAACTTGTGTTTGTATTCCAGACTCTTGTTCCCATTGGAGCTACACAGGATCAAAAGCTGTTTATTCCTTTGGCTTAGTACATTCCACACCAACGAGGTTTCAGGAAAATGTGCCAAAACCGCCGATCAGGGCTTTCATGTTGTTAGAGCCTAAGGAGGGATGACACAGTGTGTTTACAGCTCAAACGGCTCTGAACTCTCCAGTTCTCTGGGCAGGAGAAAGACAGCATGACTGCAGTCCCCTGATTATGCCTTGCATTTTTTAAATGTTCAAATCTTTGCAGCCTTTCCATAGTGTTCAGTGCACTTTGACCATAAACTGCTCCAGAGTGCAGGCAAAAACAGTTGGGAAAATATTAATCCTCTCCTTATATGGCGAGAAGAAAAATGAGAAAATACAGGCTGCATTCAATGTGATAAATGTCTAAGAAATTCCTCTTTGAGTGGATTCCCTGAGTCTACCTTCTACATTCACAGAACACAAATTATTTGGCATACGGAGATAAGAATTTGTGTCAGCTCAAGTTAATTTTGTACCACAATTATGAGAAAATGCTGTTTTGACCTTTAAAAAAAATCTAGTATCTGCAGACTTTCACCCACTCTTAAAAGTTAATTTGAAGTGCTGTACACCAGTTCTTGCAAGTTAGACAAGCGGTTTTATTTTGCAGACAAGGAAACAAGATAAAATTGTTAAGTCACTTCCCTAAGTCATTATTAGGTCTGGAGAAAATTTCAGAAGACTCAATCCTGTATCCTGCATTGTCCATTAATCAACATTCCTGACACAGTATGTAAGTATAAGCTATCACCACTATACATGTTTGCATTGTATCTACTAAATGGCTATGTGAGTTGAATAAATTACATTAAAGTAATCTCTCTTACTGGGTTGCTTTCCTGTTGGGTCAGCATTGCAGTCTAGGTCACCACACAGCTGTAGGAGAACTGTCACAAGGAAGTGGGCAAGAACATGTGGCCGGAGGTAGAGCAAGACCAAGTGCAGACAGAGATAAAATTAGACACAGAAAGCAGACAGTGGTCTAACAAAGTCCTCTGGTTTGGCCACAGGGTGCTGTATGGGTTTTTTTTTATTTGTGTATAAAAACATAGAAATATGGGGCTGAAGAATTCATAGATGAACTAGTTCAACCTCCTACTCTAAGGCAGGATCAAGTTCACGCAGAGCACCTATGACTGATGATTATCTAAACTGTTCTCACCTCTAGTGAGGATAATTCATTGAGTAACCCTCACGTAGCCGCTGACGATGCTTTACCATCTCAGTAATGGAAAGGTTTTACAGTCTTTTAGCCTAAATCACCTCTGTGGCACATTAGATTGATTTCTTTGTTTCCTCTGGAAATTTTGGCAAGCCATTGATCACTGTCACTTAAATACTGACATTTTGTGTATCAAAGACTAATATCCTTTCTAGTTTCCTTTTTTTTTTTTTTTTAGCCTAAGCAAGCCAGTTCTTTCAATCTTTGCTCTGTGATTACCTGTTTGAAATATCATTCAGAACTTTCTCTCCTTGAGTTTTGTCTTTCTTTGAAGTGAGGGAACTAAACCCAAAGAAAGTATCCCACTAACCAGCATCAGTACCAAACAGCAGAAAATTACTTCCATTGTCCAGCTATTAATTTACCCTTTCTGGATGGAAAACTGAAATATCACTGAAGACGCTGAATGAATTCCAAACATATATTTTTATGTGGATAATAAAATTAAATATTATGCAAGGAAAGTCCCTGCCCTAGAGAGCTAGCTCATCTTTTGAAACAACATAATTACACATACATTCTCTCACACATTATAATCTGGCTAGCTGCCTGTATGACCTACAAATTCTACTTCTTGTTATGTACTTTCATTTATTCAACAGTCTTTGCTTTTCAGAAATGCTGTGCATCATGACTTTGGCACTACAGTCACCAGACCGAGTAGGAACATCCTGGACTCTGACGACAGTTGCACTTACTGATAACTGTAAGGACTGTGCTTTCAGATGAGCATACCCACAGGAAGAGTTGGTGGCAAACTACGCTTTCTAGTTCAGACTCCAACTCTCTATGCAGGACAACTAACCAGTCATCTGAAGGTGCTTTTTTTCTGTCCGGCCACTTCAGAGGAGAGAAATCAGAAAGCAGAAAGCAAGGCTCCCAGTGAACAGAAAAAATGTGGACAAAGTGCAAAAGGATCACTGCTGTAGTGAGGGAGCATAAGCAGCATTTAGGAGCAGGTCTTTCTTTTTTCATAGGGCTTCCCATATTGCATACTCCCGTGGTCAGTTGGACTCACATACAAATCCTTTTTTTGCCAACTTCATCATCCTGTGCAAGCTGCCAGAAGAAGGGGAATCTGGGGAAGCGCTGCTTAAAACTACTGGTTACAGGGACTGATCAATACTGGCTCTAATGCTCCTTTTTGCAATTTTTTTTTTTCAAGATTATTTTTCTGCCAGTAAGTTCCTGGAAATAGTTCCCTATAGTGGAAAACACCTGCATTTGCACAGTTTAGGGCAGGAAAGACTGGCTGGAAGGCACCAGCTGAACTTGCCACCATTGACTCCAATATGAAACCAGAGTCTTCAATCCCCTTGGCGAGGCCTGAGAAATCACAAAGGAAATTCAAAAAATAGACTACTTTTATACCTTAAGAAACTGCAGATGCATTCATACTGGTTATAGGAATATCACAAACTACATGTTTCCTCCTGGCACACTACGGCTACCAACATGTGTTGGGCTTCACTCAAATTGCTTCTCATAACTCACTGTAACACAAGCAATCTATAATTGTTTTTGCAAATCACGGCAGTAGATTTTCTTTAATTTTAACCAGCAGCTTTGAAGCAGACCAGTAAATAACCAGAGTACAGTTCCCACTAAGCTCCCCAAAAAGACTGTAAATACATTTAACAACCTGCAGTATAAACACATCTTCTGCTTTCAACCATCACTGAATAGCTTCCAGAAAGTGTTTTTGTTAGGAGTGTCTTTGAAGAGAAGAAAGGCTTTAAAGGACAGCACTAAAATGTCTCTTTTTCCAAGGGATGTATCCACACTCTCTGCTGCACTGCAGTCTCCCAGATGAATCAGAGATCCACAAATGCCAGTAGCTAAACTTCTTTCTGAAAATGAATGTAGTAATTGGTCTGATTAATTTAACATTTCATAGAATCCTAGAATCATAGAAGGGTTTGGACTTGAAGGGACCTTAAAGATCATCCAGTTCCAACTCCCCCATCTTTATGGCCTTACTCTGGACCCGCTCAAGCAGGTCCCATTCCCTCTTTTTGGGAGCCCCAGAGCTGGCTGCAGTGCTCCAGGTGGGGTTTCATGAGAGCAGAGCAGAGGAGCAGGATTACCTCCTTCAACCTGCTGGTCATGCTCCTTTTGATGCAGCCTAAGATACACTTGGCTTTCCGGGCTGCGAGCGCACACTGCTGGCTCATGTTCTCATTGATCAACACCCCCAAGTCCTTCTCCTTGGGGCTGCTAAGAATCCATCCTCCATCCAACCTGTACTCATGTTTCGGCCTGCCCTGACTCATGTGCAGGACCTTGCACTTGGCTTTGTTGAACTTCATAAGGTGAACTTACTTTAACATTATAACTTTAAGTGGGGAATATGTGACAATTGATGGGAGTCATAGAAGTTATAATTGTGTCTTGGCTTACGGTATTTCCATAATACACTCCCACTGTAAGTGCTTAAACTAACTCAGATGTCCGAGTAGCAGTAATGTGGCATTTGACAAACTGCTGGCTATGGCACTAAGCTGAGGCACTAAGCTGAGTTTTAACAGGTACCACTCACCTGGACTCACACCTCAGCTAGCCACCATAACTTTTTGTGCCACCATCCTATAAAACACATCACGGAACTGATCCAGCATAACAATATCCAGTTCCCTTTTTCCTGTGGAGCTGTTTTTCTACACAGATTTTTTTCAGTGATGGCTCAGCAGTTCAGCCGTGCCAACAGTCGTACTGCCAAAACCTCAGTGGTGGCAGGCAGATGTACAGAGCCAGAAGGCTCTTGCAACTGACTTTGCCGATGAAGCCACTGTCTTACTGAGTTATGCTCTCAGGAGGCAGCAAACTCTAAAACTTCCCTTGAGCTCAGCTAAAAAATGCCACTACAGGAGTATATGTAACACTCTGAGGCAGCTTCCAACTTAAAAACTACACAAGAGACAGCAAAATAAACCTGAAATACAAAACAAAAAGTGTTCTTGAATGAAACTTGAATTAAAAAGTAAATTATGTTTCTTTATTGCACTTGGGGTACTTCATGCTTCACCAAATTTGCAATTCATCAGTCACTCTACATTTGTATAAAATGAAACCAATTGCAGTCTCCTCCATCTTTACTAATGGTGACAGTCTTGGTAAACATGTAACCTGGTGCTTGGAAGAAGACTCCTTCAGGGGGCATCTCTTGGAGTGATTTGGTGCAAGCCGAGAGAGCTGGTGATACAAGCCCTGCTGCCTCTTTGCCCCTGAGACCAGTCTACTGTAGTCTCTGGTTATATTAAGCCAAAGCCAGGCCTCTTCTATTGCTGATGCTGAATGTCTCATATTCATCCCAAATGTCAACTGCGCTTTAAATGACATTTCTGAAAAAACTGTAACATAAAGGGAAGAGCTGGTGTACATCTGCCTGCCATTTCAGCTCCACCTCCAGCTAGGGTAAGCAGGAGTCACTGTGAAGGTATTAACTCTGACTGTATTGCAGCCAGGACCATCCCACCAAGGATACATTAGAAATGACTAACAAAGGAAGCATCACTTTATGTGGTGTGCTCTGTCATGGGGAAAAGCACAGTTTTGGCTGTGTACAAATATACTTTTCAGCTTAAGGTAATGCACAGAACTGGGTTAAAATCAGGTTGGTTGGATCAGGTAGGGAGATGGTTATTTTTTCCTATTTCAACACTTTGAGGCAAATACTGAAGGCTTCTGCACAGCTGTGCAGCACGCGGGTTGCCTGGCCATTTTATGACTTGTCTGCTCTACCTTGCCTTGTTTCACAGTTTCTACTATTGAAGAGCACTACTTTCAGGGGGTTTCTGTTCCTATTTTAATTGCAGAGCATGTAAAAGGCTCTTCAGTTTTCAATAACAACAATAAATCGCTATCAAACCCAGAAAGACATAAGCATTTGAAATGTGCCTCCTTTAAGAAGTAAATGGGGAGGAACAAAGGCTGATCACAAAAAGCTAACAAGGATGTGTTCCAAAGCAGAGATCACTTCTAGAGTATGAAAAACTACCTCTGCTGGCTTTGAAGAAAATACTTGACCTTGACCTTGGGCCTCCCCACGAATATCTGTTGAGCTACAGCAGCAGGCTCTGCTTGCCTCTGCTTACACTTAACAAGCACCTGCTCAAAGTGGAAAATCCACCAAGCAAGCACGAGACATATGCTTTGGGGCAGGCAGCAGCTCCATGAGAAGCTCTAGTGGGGGATGCAGGAGATCCAATGAACTGGGAATAACCTGACTGATCTTCAGTTCTACCTTCTCTAGAAAAAATATCTTCTGGTAGCACTTCACTGCAACCCTTATGTTCTCCTCGGTTTTCACAGCAGTTTTCTATAGGCTCAACTACTCTTGACTCAGACCCAGGCCTCCTAAAGAACATTTCAATGAACTACAGCAGAATACCTAACATAGTCTGAGAAGGCCACAATGTAATGACTCTGGCAATGACTCTGGCAATCATTATTGTTACATTGCAACTAAGAAAAAGTCATGTGGAAAGAAAGGATTTTTATTTTTTTAGTTTGATACTAAGAGGGAGTGGGAGAGAAGTGCCTTAAAACAGAGCAGTATGATTTAAATGGCATTTGCCTCATACCTAACACTATTCACAATGCAAGTGAGTAAAAGCACGATGCTAGCCTGCCAAAAGAGTAATGCACTTTGCTGCTCTCAGAAAACCTTCAAGCAAATTCTTTGTACACTGCCGAGGAAGTCCTTTGGTTCTGCTTCAGTGTAAGGTCTTTACACTGCCAAACAGTCCCGAATAATGCTCCTAAAGCAATGACAGAAGGAAACCTGACAGAAAAATGAGGTTGTGACAAAGTTCCTTGAGTTGACTAGCTTAGGCACTGGGCTTTTGGAAAAGATGTACGAACCCACAGTGCCATTACCTCAGCTACTTATTTGTTAGAGAAGCTGAGGAGCCGAGTCTGGGAAAAGTGCAAGCTGTTTCTCAAAGTAACCTCTTGTCCGTCTGGCACCTTTCAGGGGACAGAACGTCTGGGTCACATAGGAAAGAAGCTGGAGTCCTGTGAACCTTCACAGAGCCATGTTGCAAGCTGTGTGAACTGCTGCTTCAAATGAGGCAGCTGAGGGGAAAGGGGGAAGTGCCACTCTAAACGTCTCACAAAAGCACTTAAAATACTGTAAAGCTTCTAGAATAAGAGACTCGGTGCTACCAACCCTTGCAATTTTATTGCAAGTCTCATGATGCTCTGTTTAAAGTCACAGCTTTTGAAAACAACTGATTACGGAATCAGCTTCCATTAAAGAAGGCCTCCAGCAGAGGTTACACAGAAAAGCCTGAAAAGCCCAAGCAGGCTGCAAAGCCTCAAGTCAATAACATGTTTATTAAAGGCTTATGAGCTTTAAGCTAATAATGATTTTGACAGACTGGCTTATGACTTTGTTTAATAGTTGGTGTTAGCCATATCAGAGAGGAGAAAAAAACCCAACAAACCCTGCCTCAAATCTAAGCCTAAATGAATTCTTCAACAGCATGAGAAAATTGGCAGCAAAAAGGAAAGCTATCTCTGGATTGCTTTGCCTTTGAAAGTTTCTCAACAAAACAACAACAAATCTCATACTTACCTATATCAAAGGGCACTAATCAAAACCAGCAAAACTGCAGAAATATGTTGGGCTTATGGGGCCGTTCTTGGAATGAAAGGTAATAAAATGTGGAAGAGAATCTCTGGGTTGTTGATTCCAGCACAATAGCAGGGGCCTGGCAGTCAGCTGCAAAATAGGTGCAGCAACTTCAGAAACAGGAGATGTGGGAGCTGGTGGAAAACAGATGGATCGTTTGCCTACTATGCCAGGGAAGGTTATTTTTTGCTGCTTCTACTTCCATCCACATGAATTATAATGTACATCCTGTGGCTGTTGACTGTAAGGGAAGTGGGGCGAGAGGATCGGGCCATGGCTACAGCAGTGGGAGAGAACTATCAACACTCATCAAAGGAGCTTGGATGGGAAAGAAAACAGTCTTCAAGTAGGCCAGATCAAGATAACAGAGATGTAACGCCATGAATAAACTATCACTTCCACCTTTGCTACATTTATCTCTTCCTTCATCATTATTTCTCCACTCTCCCCCACCACTCCTTCAGATTTCCATTTCCAAGTAATACAGATCAAGATGTGTGCTTTAATTTAAAGGGAAAGGCACCGAGGAATACACAAAGAGATTAAAGCAATCAGACTTATTTCTCACTTGAAAGTTTTGTTTTTACAGGGAGGAGGCTGGTCTGATTTGAGTCAACAGTGTTTTGTCAGGGTATCATTGCCATGAGCAGCAGAGCATCTCCAGCCAAGATTGCAGCTGAGCC